CTTGTTTTTTGGATTTACTTCTGTATTACTAGGAAGTGTTCTTTGAGATATATTATTTAATGAATTGACTATTTGTCCAAGTTGATTATCAATATTTTGAATTGTAATTTCTTGACTTTATAATTGATTTCTCATTTGTAACACTTCTTCTATATACAACTTTTTTCTCCTTAAATTATGGGCTACTTTTAAAATCTGAAGTATAAGTAGGTCTATAATTATTCTTACCTTGGTTGTTCCAGTTACCCAATGAGTTTTTGGTTGTTCCCCCATTGCTGATTATTACAACCCGAAGTATTGTTATTCTAGTTAAATTTAGGATGGTTATTCCAACCTGAGTTATAATAGTTTGAATATAGGTTATTTAACTTATTATTTATGACATTCAAAGTTTCTAATGATGTTTGAGAAGCTATCATTTAGCCTAATGAATTCTCTTCAATTATTAAAATTGGTTGAAAAAATTAATTCCAAATTGTAGCAACTTGATCTGTTAACATTGCAAAAGTATCAGCTTCATGAATATTAGCTATTTTCTTAAGATTTACCCATTCAGAAAACCATTGAAAATTATTAATAGACATCCCTTCAATTAAAACATAAGCGTCATAAAATGGTTTTGACAGCAATGAACCACCAGCAGCGACATCAATAATAGATCTAAGAGATCCAGCTAATCCATTATAAAAAGTTTTAATTATTAACCAATCTGGTACGGACTGGTGTGGACATTCTCAGTAGTTTTTTAAATCATTCTCACGCTTCATAAACAGATTCCCCTTCAAATTGACAAAAAAGATGTAATATCATTTCTAAGCTTTGCAGTTTTTTTATGGTGAAAAATATTTAATAAGAAATTTCTGCGCTAAATCATCCAAAGTTCTAATAGATCCAGATGCTAACGAATTTAGTGACATTCAAAGTTTCTAATGATGTTTGAGAAGCTATCATTTAGCCTAATGAATTCTCTTCAATTATTAAAATTGGTTGAAAAAATTAATTCCAAATTGTAGCAACTTGATCTGTTAACATTGCAAAAGTATCAGCTTCATGAATATTAGCTATTTTCTTAAGATTTACCCATTCAGAAAATTATTAGTAGTCATCTCTTCAATTGAAGTATAAGTGTCATGAAATGTTTTTGACATCAATGAACCACTACCAGCGACATCCATAAAAGATCTAAGAGATCCAGCTAATCTATTGTAAAATGTTTAAATTTTTAACCAATCTAGTATAACATGGTGTCGACACTTTCTCAGTAGTTCTTTAAATTGTTTTCATGCTTCATAAATAGATTTCCTTTCAAATAGACAAAAAGATGTAATATCATTTTTAAACTTTGCAGATTTTTATGGTGAAAAATATTTAACAAGAAATTTCTGCGCTAAATCATCCAAAGTTCTAATAGATCCAGATGCTAACGAATTTATCCATATTTTAGCATTATCCCTTAGTGAGAATGGAAAATGTCTAAGTTTAATAGCATCATCCGAAACACCATCATATTTAAATATAACACACAATTTTAGAAAATTGACAAGATGTAAATTTGGATCTTCAGTTGGTGTTTCCCCAAACTAATTATTTGATATTATTTGAATAATTGCAGGTTTAAATTCAAATGAATTAGCCACTACAAGATGTTTTGAATACTATAATGAAATTTATTAACTATAAGGTTTGCATAATCTCTTAAAGATCTAAATTCTTGATTAATTTCAGTATTTTGATTATTTTGATTTGTCGTTTCTTGAAATTTTTTATTTTTTTTATATTTATTTATATTTTTTTGATATTTCTTTCTAATTCAGAATCGTAGGACACTGTTTCTTTAGAATTTGAACTACGCATACATTACTACAAAACAATATAAATTAAAATCACACGAACAAAAACTTATATAAAAACAACGCTACAATGATCTTGTAATAAATCTAAATGTTTAAATAAAACTTTCTAAAAATAGAAAATTATTTTCCCAAAAATTCCTTAAAAAAATTTCTTACTCCCCGACAATGGCGCAAAAAACTTGATCATGACTTTTATGACGGTACTACGAAGTCTGTGATTATATTCTTAATTTTCTTTACTTATATTCTTTCTTTACAACGGTGCCAAAAACTTACTCCGAAGCAAATAAGAGTGCAACAATTATATTTAAATATTGGGATACTACGTAAGTATAAATATCATTATCAAGTGATATAAAACTTTTTGATTAAACTCAAATATCAAACCCACAGGGAGAACTACAAATTTTTAAGAAAAAATTAAATATCAAATTATACTTTGAAAAATATTTTTACTCAAACTATTTTTGATTTTTTAATTTTTTTTTATTATTCTTTCTTATTCAGAATCGCAGGGCACTGGTCATTTAGAACTTGAACTACACATACATTACTATAAAACGATATAAAATAAAATCACACGAACAAGAACTTATGTAAAATCAAAACTAAAATATCTCTGTAATAAATCTAAAAGTTTAAATAAGACTTTCTACAATAAAAATTTACTTTCCTAAAAATTCCTTCAAAAAATTTTTTACTCCCCGACAACGACGTCAAAAACTTGATCCCTACTTTTATGACAATACTACGAAGTATGTGTAGTTATATTCTCAATTTTCTTTACTTATATTTATTTCTTTACAACATTGGACTCCGAAGCAAATAAGAGTGCAGCTATTATATTTAATTATTGATATACTACGCAAGTATATGTATCGTTATCAAGTGATATAGAAATTTTTGATTAAGCTCCAAATATCGAACTCACAGAGAGAACTAAAAATTTTTAAGAAGAAATTAGATAACTAATTCTATTTTGAAAAATATTCTTACTCAAACTATAGATGCTATAATAGGAATGGAAGTTCGATTCTTTTTTGTAATTTTTTATAATTGAAAATAAAGTAAACAACCAACTAAATTTAATTAGATTTTTGTAAGATGAAGACAATATAAATAAAATATTTTTTTCTTTGTCATTAATCAGTAACAAATATAAAAATTCGGTTGTGAAAGTATTCAAATTGTGTTGTGCTAAATAGGAGCAATATTATTTTTTCTACTTATTAGAGATGTTATAAAGAATATTGACTAATCTATAGTTTGAATAGTCTTAAAGACGGACTAGGTAGGAAAGATATTAGCTCTCACTTAAGAGTTTCCTCTTCTCCCTTCGCCCGGGGGCTAACATCTCGTATTAAGACCTAAAACAATAAATCAAATTAGTGGTTTTAGCCTGTCACTCTAAAGTCCTATAGCTTACACTCTTCAAAATTTATTTCTCTATCTATTTGCACTCAATCATGTGAATTACATTCTCATCCATACAATCTTATGTGATTCTTACCATTAATTTACTTAAGCTTCAGTCCTGGGCGCTTAGGCGCCACAGTTCATTTGCACATCTTCTTTATTTTTACTCCAAATTTGATCATTTTTCACTCATTTCACCATTTTTCATTCATTTAATTGTACCTGAAAGAAAAAAACACAAACACCTTCCATTAAAGTACAATATCATCAAAAATAGATATAAAAATGTGTACATAAATGCTATATATTTTAGGTCTATTAGTAAGAAAGATTTCTTAGTGGAAAATGAAACCCTTGATTCTATGAGAAATCCTGATAGGTGGACTAACCTAGACCTTGGGAATAATGTACCCGATCGATGTCCATGTCTTTCCGTCGTCCCAGGCACATTGATATCCATCCACTATGATCAACCTCATAACCAGGAATCTATCTTAAATGTCGTAGCTTAGAGGATTTTTAGTCTCGAAGTAGTCTGAAATACATTCGTCCGTAACCATGGGTTACATTCTTCTAGGCTATTCCCTCTAGCTTCGGGGGGTAGGCTTGTTTGTTTTATAGGTCTCAATCCTTAGAGCTAGCTAGGGTGCGTAGACTAAACTAGATTTTTTTACTCAGACTAACGTGGGATAGGTGTATGTGCCTAGACTATCTGTCCACTGTGACTAATAATTGCAACAGTAAGTTTGGTGCCTAAACTATATTGACATAATAATTTAAAATTGTTCATTAAGTCAAACTTATTATTGCAATTATTAGTTTCTTTCAAGACAAGGAAAACTTTAGATTGATATATCTGATAGAAGAGACTTGGTTTACAGGAGGATGATAACTGCTGTTAGGTATTTATGATGATAGTTTATTTTTACTGATTCCTTCAGATAGTGATATATTGTCAGTACTGGTTTGAAATGTGGTCTCCAAATTATGTTGTTATTTCTAGATTTTAGGGGCTCTTTTATATTTTGGAAGTTTATGAAAATAATATTGAAAGTAAAAATAAAATTTACCAAAGGCACCATTTGGAGTAGATCTGGATGAAAGATCTTTGGGAGCTCCACCCCTAGTTGGAGAAATAGCCATAAGGCTAGATCTACAAAGTTACATGTAGCACGCTTGGAAAGGGGGTGCTTCAACACTGTAGCGAACCAAGAAGAGAGGGGAAAGGGGCTGCTCAGTTCTCAATCAGGCTTTGCTGGCGGCCTGGCTACATGAGGTGTGCGAAGGAGGAGAGCTGTGGCTTTATTTGGTGAGGATAAAGAGGAGGGCTCCACAAAGGAAGCTGAGAGCTTGAAGAGGAGAGCTCTCCTCTAGGTGCGACGAGAAAGGCTACAGCAGGCTGTGGCTCGCCAGCCAGAGTGTCATGTCTTCGCCTATCTTAGTGGGATTTATTTTAGCATTGTGGTATATACTTATCCTTGTGCTCGTTACATGGATAAGTTATCATGTCTCACTATGATTTCCATGTATTGGTTCTTGCTTCTGAGCCTCTATATCATATAAAGTACTGTCTGGTCCAGCGAATGATTCAGGTATCATATTACAAGCTAATGTTTTTTTGCTATGTTCAGTATGGATATAATGCTTGTTTAAACTGGATTTTGAATTGATTGCTTCGCATGTTTCATTGATAGTTGCTGATAACCCTTAACTGTGCATAAACTAATACAGATCCTAGATTTGGGGTTGCTTGCTTGGGAAAGGTCCAGGCAGTGTATGAAAATGATATGGACTTGATGATCCAATTTTATAGATTTGTTGCAAAGTGAGTATCTCTAATTATTTCACACCTATCCATTATTTACAGTTTATCTATTAATTGTTTTAATATCTCGTTTAAATTGGTTGTGAATTGTATATTCTTCCTCTTTAAGTTTTAAAATTTCTGAATAATGTTAGAAGGATCATGGAAGCTGTAAGAACAGGAAAGGATAGGTGAAAAATACCTTTGAGTGTTTAACCTTTGAGTCATTGAAATCCTTGCTGCAATCAAGTGTTTCTCCACTTCAATTAGTCTAGTTCTTATGAAGATTTAAGTTCATAAATTTTGCACTTCATCTCTAACTTCCTTTTTGGTGGTTCAGCCTTCTTGTTGGAATTCAAGTTCTGGACATCAGCTCTTCCCTTAATTCAATTTAAACGGCAACTGATCATCCGAACCACCTATTGATTGAAGACTACATTTGTGACTTGTGAAGCAGGCAGTGGAAGCAATCTAACGCTAGATTATATTACCTTGGATTCTTCCTGTGAGCCTTTTTTTATAACTTTCGATTGAAGTTTAACAGCCATAGAAAGAGCTAGATAATGGTATAAATGCATAATAAATGGTACAAAGTGATGGCCATTGGTTACTCGGTATAAATTATAAGAGATGTATAACTTGAGTAGGAACTCAAATCTATAATTGACCGATTAGGAGGAAGTGGCCGATTCCTCCAAAGAACTCGCCAATTAGCTATAAGCTTGTGCAACTGTGTCATCATGAATCTGGTGAGTTCTTTATGAGTTCTCCTTAAGTTTGACTGACAAATCCGTCTCGAATAGAGTTTGTGAGTTCAGTTTGAACCCGAGTGGCAAGTCCGTCTTAAACTCAGCTATCGAGTTCATCGCGAGAATATTTGAGTATACATTTAATTTTTCAATTTTCGCATATCTTTGGAAGTCAAATGATAGAAGAACAAGAGAATGATGGCAATAAAGTTATCTTTCTTGATGAAAAATGAAATTTTTACTTAGTACTTGCCTTGAGAGCACATTTTACATATCCATGCCAAGTTTGTTGTCTTATTTTTTCTGGTCATGTACAGACATATCACACAATTCTTTTGTATTTACACATCTAAAACCTAAGCTTTCATATTTACATACATAACACTCAAATCTTTAATATCACATAAAAAATATCAATATTACTAAAATTTAAAAATGAAATGCTCTTTTTCTTGCATGGGTTTTTGACACTAAGGTATTATAAATGTATCACACTTTAGGTGTTTCATATGTAAATACATAAGAATTGTGTGGTATATGTAAACTTATTTTTTTTGGGTAAAATATGAGTTAGTAGTGTAATATGTATATATGCTCGAAAAAAATATGTGGCATTATTTAAGATGCTATCAGTTTTGAAATTTATATTTATTAGGCATTTTATGAAGCTTTGCCCATATTAGCATGATCATCCTCCTATAAATAATCCTTCTTTTCTCGGTGAAAGGGTTACCTGCACTTTGGATGGTCTTCTTACTACAGTGTTTGAGCTCTATAGACGTAAAAATATGCACCACAGAAGATGAAAATGAATTATTAAAGATGTTATAATGGTGAGTATTCTTGAGAGACGAGGATGAAAAAAGGATGAGGGTTTGGAAAAGAAGGGCAGAAAGTCAAATTTTAGATTGCTGAGGCGAGTAAGAGGAGAATTAAGTCATTTATGTTCCATTATTGTTTTTTGTTATTTGCAAGTCTTCACAGCTGAGTTTTCTCTGCAGTGCTGAAAATTTTCTTGCATTGGTATATATAGTAAGTCGTTGCTATTATGCTTACGTTAATTTTTAATTTTAATAATATATTTTGTTATTTTGAGGTGGCTCCAACGTCTTTGATAATGCCAATAGAGGAAATCGTCCTAGTGACTGCTGACCTGGGTGACTAGAAAATAGTCCTTAAACATATAATAGTTCTATCGTTTTTGTGAAAGTAGATGACAAATTTTGAGAACTTTATTCATTGTACCATGAGCATGCTTTTAGGTGAAGGTCAAGGACAAAGGAACAAGAAAATAGTAGATCTAGAGGCAACTTTTGCAGGTTCATCACAGACTTCTTGGGTTAGATTATAATAACAAGATTTTGAAGAGACAGTTTCTAGTTTTCTTCAAGGAACATTTTTCTCTTTTAGAGGGCTCTCGAGAGATTGAGGGAATTAGTAGATGTCTTTGTCAAGACCAGTTGAAATCTTTATTTAAATGGCTCTTTGCCCTGAGGACCATGCTAAAATAAGGCAGTTAGCTGAGTCAACCATAGAGATAAATAATGATGATAACTCTTCGAGTAATATTAATAACAGTATTGCCATTTTAAAAGCGAAACAATTCTCAAAATATTCTTGAATTGAGATTTCTTGAAATTGTAACTTTCCTTCACTCATAAGTAGTCTTGGCCTCCATTTGAACTCTTTTATGCTTTTTTCTCTTTCTATGGATCTTGATCTTCTCTTTAGATCTCTTCAGTTCTCAACATATTCTTTTTTTTTGTCCTTGGCCATGAAGTTGAATGCTCTAAAGAAAATCTTCAAGTGATTTTAGGAGGATGAATACACTCTTGCCTCATGTGTGCTTGCCTCACGTGTGACAATGGCACGGTGATGTGTATTAAAAATACGTGTTATTTTTATGATATTTTTATCTTTATTATGTATTTTTATGTTTTTCACGGTACTTGTGGTTTTATATGCAGTGAATAGGTGATTAGGTAGAGATGATCAAATGAGATGAAATCGACTCAGAATTGGTTGAATTGAGCTGACTCAGTGCCCCCTCACCAGACTCGGGTGCCCTTTGCCTGTCCCAACACCTGGACCCCAATCTTGGGCGCTTAGGTCCTAACGGACGGAGAAACTGGTGCTCTAACGCCAATTCTGGGTGCCCAGGTGCCCAAGGATGGAGCCACAGGCGCGCTTAGGCGCTAGAGATCAACACCCAAGCGCTAGAGACCAAATGCTTATGAGGGGCTACCGTTTTGAGATGTTTCTTTTATGTTGTTTCGACTCAAATGCATAAATTGGAAGATACAAAGCTGTAAGAGAGAGTAGAGGGGATTGAAGATCGGCGACATGGAAAAGGAGAATACTTGGGAGTAGTCAGAACATTTCAAGGGAGGAATTGAAAGGAGTGTTATGAGCATGAGTGAGTGTTCTCCTTAGTGAGAACAAGTGTAAGCATGAGTGTGTATCCTTTTATGTACCTAAAATGGTGTAAAACTCAATAATTTTGTTGTAATTTCATAAGAATCAGTGGAGAACATCAGTGGGATTGTTCTTTCTTAAACTTCAATTTTACAATGGAATTTATTTTGTTTTCATCTGTAACGAGTAGGACATAAAACCTTTTTCCCCTTTAAATTTGATTTTATGCAAGTTGGTGAAATCTTAATTATATGCTTGTGTGTAATTTGATTATTAGTTAATATTTTAACATTTTGAATTTAATTTATTCCTAAATTAATAACTTAGGAAATTAAAATAAATCATGATCTAGTATTACGGGAATAGGCTGGTGAAACAATTAGGTTAACATGTACTACTATAAAAGAATAAAATATTACTCTTAGGATGGTGCGATCATTAGGAAAATTTGCAAAAAATGGGATTTTTGTATAGTTAGGGGACTAACTGTAATATGAAACCTTAATTTTCTTATGACTACCAGGAGGTGCTAAGGAAAACTATTGTCCTTGATTGTCAATTTCATTATTTTAACTCAAAATTAGTTATATGTTTGATATTTTACAAAAAATAGGATTCAAAATATTAGGATTTGAAATATTAAAATCCCTAAATTTCGAACCTTCAAGCTAGACTCAAAAACAATAGATTAGAACTTTTGTGGACTTTTGGGAGTTCACTCATTTCTTGTGGAATTGATACACAGACTTAATTTCATATACTATTTGAACAACACATATATTTGTGTATATTGCCTATGCTTCACGGCTTTTTAGCTGTATCAAGTTTATTGCATCGTTCCCGGGGAATAATATTGAAATTTCAATTTTATGAACATTTTAGTTGAATCGTTAGGATTTTGACATAAAGTTGTTGTGTTGTATTTTTTTCTGTGTTTTGTGTTATTTTCCATGTTGGAAAAAGCCATAAAGAATCATGTATTATGCTTCATGTTTCATTTATCTTGTTTCCACATTTTTGGTGAAAAAAATAAAAAAAATTCCACAAACCTAAAACGATATTAGGAGAGATGTCAAATCATAATAAGTTAATCTATTTTTATTTAATTTAATTCTAGAATATTGGTGGGCACAATTTAGAGTTGATGTGCATAAACTCAAAACATTTGCTATATAAGTTCTTTGTCTTGTTGAGCTTTCATATGCGAGCGTAATTGGAGCATATTCAATTAACTGCATACAAACATAATAAATCGTTTGATTATAGGTCCAATGAACAAGTTAGTTCATGTTATGCTCAATAAAAAAATTGAAAGATTGACACTTGAAGCTACAACATAGAAATGACCGTGATAAAATAAATCAGTTTGCTGTTGATGATATTATGTCTGATGATGAATGGATAATGCTTAAGAATGTTAAAAGATTTGAGATTGAAGATAAAGAGATGACTTTTAATGATGATGATAATGAATACAACAATCTTAACAACACAGATAGCTGCTATATCTAAGAAGATGGATAACTTAGATTTAAATTTTACACCAAAATAACTAATGAATGATAAAAATTCTTGTGGATAATTTGATGATCCGAGTTGTGCCTGTGGAGTCCTGGAATGTAATCGATAACACACCGAATAATTTTTATTATAACACCTACAATCCTTTTAGAAAAATCACCTTAATTTTAATTGGAATAACAACTAATATGTAGTAAACAATTAGTGGGTTAGTATCCAACAAAATACCCTAGAAAACTCAAACAATCAAGTTAGTAATTTCTCCGACCACAGGTCTAATTATCCTTTTGGATTCATCTCAAATATTCAATTTGAAGAAGAGAAAAATTTGGAAAA